TATATATAAACCTTTTATGGCTCGTATGTGAGAATAGGAAGCTCACACTGGAGGAACACAAACACCATTTTATTCAGAGGCCTAAACTGAGCAAAAATATGCAATTTGGTGTAGATTGTTACTTACATGACCAAAAAGTAAAATGAACTTCTGACAGCTTGTAATGCAAATCCGTATAACTGACTACTCACAGAAAATGCATAAATAATCAGTCGTCAATCGATATCTGCCAATAATGTCTCAGTAAGATGAAATTTTGATATTTGAAATGTACAAATCAACATTGCTCAAAATGCATGTTGTATCATATTTGATACATTCATATTAACATGACTTTTTTTTCTTTTTAAAAGACTTATGGATAATTAAGTAAACCTAGTTGCTTCAAACCAATAAGTGTTCATCTTGAAATATTAATAACAATATAAAAGTTATTCTTATGTTTACTTTATACAAATAATTTACATTGAATATTTCACAGCAAAACAAATTATACTTGGAGGCCTTTTACTTATTCAAAAAAGTTTGAACTATCAATCAGATGACAGAGGGCATATAGAAGATTGTGTATAACAGGTTCCTCAGCAAAGTTTTAATCATATTGATAATATATTGATAATGATTATTATATTATCATATTGATCATCAAATATGATACAGTAGACTTTATAGGGTTAAAGAATGTTTTAATTAATTAAAAAAAAAAACATTGGACCACAATGGAGAGAAAAAAAAAGTCATACAGGAACAACATGAGGGTGAGTAAAAACAGAATTTGTGTGTGAACTGTCCTTTTAAGTAAATTTAGTCTTTTTATCTTTCATCCATTTTGATGTCAAAGCAAATGTGCATAAAATGCAAAAAGTACAATGACACAGCCGGTTTGACACTACAGAACTTTACTTTACATTGTCTATACAAGATATATTTACAATGTCTGAAATAGGGGAAATGAACAATAAAACACTAGATACAACTGAGGTATTAGCTAAAAGCATGTACATGTATTTAACTCGTAAATATCAATCATGATAAACAGTTTGAGATGTGTCATCTGCTTTAGAAAACATCTTATCACAACATGAGGTAGGACAGCAACGTCTCATTTTCATGCAAGAGCAAAAAACCTCTCATCACACTGTAGGATTGGCAACATATTATGCAATGATACACACAAACACTGCATTTCATATCTCAGAATTGCAACTTAAAATATCTTTGCTGTTTACGAAAGTTAATGGTGTTGTTTCTATAACAGTGTTAAGTGTGTTCTCAAAAAAAAAAAGCATCATATCTGATTTAAAAAAAAACGTTTTAGTAGTAATGTCTCAGTTATACATTAGAAAAGGTGTGATCAAGATCATAGGGACACATGCTGTGCTGGCAGGTAGTTATTTGTATACTACGTGTATTTTTACCATTATAAAAAAAATGTTTTGTTTATATAATTGTAATTTTCTTTTTTCTTTTGCCATTAATCAGCTCAAGGGAGCCACTGTATTCATTAACCCCAGTAAAATGGGATATTTCCTCTATAATGCAAAATACATGGTAGCTTTGCTGAAAAACTCTAGCATTAGATTGCTTTAAGGTACAGTTTTGCTAATTATATTATACCAGGCCTATACATATCAGATATTCAACATATTTCACACCTCTCGTATATGTACAACGTTATCTGTATTTATTTTCTTAACACTGCAAAAGCCAAAACAGGTTTGTTGTTTCAAGAGTCTAAAGCAGGGGTGCCCAAACTCGGTCCTGGAGGGCCGGTGTCCTGCAGAGTTTAGATCCAACCCCAATTAGACACACCTGAACCAGCTAATCAAGCTCTTACTAGGCATACCAGAAACGTCCCGGCAGGTGTGTTGAGGCAAGTTGGAGCTAAACTCTGCAGGACACCGGCCCTCCAGGACTGAGTTTGGGTAACCCTGGTCTAAAGAGTACTGTATTCCTATACCCATGATTCAAATTTAACATGGTATTCTACATAGGAGATATACAGCGCCCCCCTGTGTACAAAATGCAATTTACATGTTTCATAGAATCGTTACAAATGAAAAGGTATACTCTAGAAAGCTTCAGAAATACATTTTAATACCCAAAACTATCAAAAACAGCATTGAAACCGGCTGCTACAGAGGTAACTGTGGTGAAATCAGAAGAAACCTAATACTGATTGAAATTTGAAAATTGTAGTCGACACTGTAGTAATGCATTACAGTGCCAAAACAAATGCTACAATCTCTCAAAAGAACTACACATGAAATCAAAACTGTATATTTATATTTGTATTACAAAACAAAAAAAACCATCACTCTTTTCAGTAAGTCATGTCTCATTTGTCACTGACACACACAGTCTCTCATATCAAAAGTTTCTAGCATCTATATTAGGCTCTTGAACACATTTTGTGCCCATTTACATAAAGACTACTCTTCTCAGACAATATGGAGGAACATTTGTTGGAAAGCTTGTATGTGTGAGAGAGAACAGAAAAAAAATCACTTCTGTATTTTAGTAATAATGAATCTGTTTTAGCATAACAATATAGTAGCGAACAATACATGCATTATTTCACTCCCTTCTTTCTAAGGATTAAATTCTTAAATTCTTAATTTAAAAAATATATATTTATATATATATAAAATAACAACAGGTTGTCAATCTCAGTGGGCTCCAATGAAATGGACAAGATGACCCACTGAAGGGAAACACTGAGGCACTGGACAGCATACGTCACTGTTCCCGTTCCCCGTTGGATAGTGTAGGGGTTCTGAGCATCATGCATCCTTACACACTTTATCAACAACTACTCTTCAGTTAGAAATGAGAAAAATTAGAAATTAGAGAGAAGAAAAACAAAACAACAGAGCTTGGGCTATGCCCAGATTTTGCAAATGTGATCAGAAACCTTGAAAGATTATTTATAAGAATTTAGTTAATATATTAATGACTACCATATGTACAAAGTATATATAAATCTTTATTAGTTAATACATTAATTTCTGAATAATTTCAAGAAAAAAAGTTCAAAAATGGCACTCTTTTACAATATAGTTTTGTTTTTTTATTCTTCATAAGCTAGATGTATTCACATAAGTCAGGGCGTTTCTTTACATTTTCCTTAAGAGGTTTTGCACTGTACACATTATCAGGTTTAGAAAACTGCAGCGACTTGGCTGACTTTGAATCCGAAGAGTTGTGCACGGTGGAATGTTCTATACGAGATATGCACATCATGAAAGAAGCCTAGATTTACATCCTATATTGTTTACACAATCAATCTGAACTGAAGAAAGAAAGAAAGAAAGAAAGAAAAAGAAACAGAAAGAAAGAAAGAGAAAGAAACTGCTCTAGTGGCAAAAACACTTCACTTCCTGTGTCCATCTTTCTTCATTCATCTAACAGTTAATGTATGATTGGGCATCAGAGGCAGCTGCCCCATTCTGCGGAGACAAAGCGTGCCTCTTCAACCCTCAGTGACTGGGAGCTAACATGACAGCATTAATTCCTTTACGTACCTCCCTTGGCCCCGTCTGTTTTTCTTCTCTCTGTCAGACCTGTTTGTTCAGTCATCCAGAATAATGACACAGAGGAATGATTAAGGAGGTATATGAAAAAAAATTTCAGCTAAACATCCAATACGTGACCAAAAATTATAGGTAATTTATCAGCAGTTTTCTGATTAATTAAAAAAATCAGCTCTGGTTTATAGAAGACTGTGACATACTTCAATGCTTAGTTTACATCTTTAATTGCACTACTAATGGATCCTTGTCGAATTTGCTTAGAAAATTACAAATATAAGGTCTACTATGTGCTTTGTTTGAAAATAGGATGTTGATCTTGCAATTTCTGAGCAACTACAACCACTAAGGTCTTCCTGGTAATACAGGTACTCTTTCGCTGCTTAGAAAATCCTCTGAACATAAACTTGAGAGTGAGCTGAACCTCATTTCTACAACTGCAGATGTTCCCTGTAGTTAAATGGGGGCCGAGTTTCATAGTGTTCTCCAGCAGGTGGCGAATGTAAGTCTTTGCTTACTGCATCTTACTGCTGTTTGTCATATACCAGCCTGCAAAGGGTCAGCAGTGCAGACAGGAAACATATAATCAACACCAGACTGAAAAGACAAAAGACAGGCAGGGAAAGAAAATGGAGGAGAGAAGGAGAGGAAGAGGATTATGATCTTAAACTGGGGGGCCTCAGAAAGGGGCCCCCTCTATGTTTCTGAATGATTTAAAGATGCTATAGAATAATATTTTACTGATATTCTTTGTGATATTAACAAAAATGTTCTCCCATTTTTTCTGTAGGAAACAATGACACAAAATTAAAATAAAAAAGTAAACATCCACATGGTTTCTTGATGCTGCAAGGCATTGGCGTCTTGCCGTTTGGCATCCTGGCGCTCCGTGTCACAGGTAGTATTTTAGTGAGTGTCAGTTTCCTGTATCCAAAGGGCTGGGAGCGAAAAAGCACTCGAGCACTTTCCCAATGCAACAGGAGGCAAGCGTCCTACAAAGAAATACCTCCACTGTCCCATCAGCCTCTCAGCACGACTATAAATTAAAACAAACATGTACATCCAAAAAATGCTTAACGACTGGTCGAGAGCAGGGTTACACGAAAAGTCTTTTTACATTAAGCACAAACCTTAAGTCTTTTTTTTGTGGTGGTGCGACACAAAGGGAATGGGAGACCTGCTCTTTTCTGCAGAGGCTGTCTTGTGTTTGCCTGTGACTCTGCAGGGAGTGGGCGAGCTTGTTCCTGGGCTACAGGCGTGAAAGTGTGCGCGAGAGGGGGGTGAGCGAGAAGGAGTTTATCTGGAGGTTACCTCAGGGCCCGGTGAAGAGAGAGAATGCTGGGATTGGGGGCTTGCGGAGGGGGTCGAGGGCTGGGCAGGGCTACTACTGCGGCTCCCCTTGGTGCCAGACTCGGTCATCTGCTGCTGAAGCTGCGAGATCATGAGCTCCAGCTTCTCTCTGGCCTCCCGTTCTCTGCAGAGCTCCTCCTGCAGTTCCTGCCGCTCCGCCTCGGCACACTCCAAACGGCAGCGAAGCTCACACAGCTGCGGACAGAACGAGAGAGGGGTTACATATAGGAACGCACAAAATATTCCATACAACACAAATATGAATATGAGTGATTTCTGCACTGCAGAGCAAATCTACAGCGCCATTTTTGAGAGAAGAATCGTGCTGCTCAGTTTTAATGTCGGCACGGACAACAGTGCATGTGCGTGTGATTTGAGCACTTAAAGGTGCCATAGAATGCATTCATACAATATTTTAAATTGTTCTCTGATATCTACATAGAAGGTATGTGGCTTAGGTAAGGGCAAAAAATCTCCAGAAACGGTTTTACATGTCCATTTACAACT